ACCTCTAGGTGGTCACAAAGCACCGAGCTGATCTCCCTGTGCTATGTGGCTGCTTCCCACTAGCCACATAGCTATCTATTTTACATCTGGTATATATGTATATATACCAGTGTATATATGTCGATGCTACTATCACTTCGCCCCAGCTTCCCCCTCCCTACCATGTCCTCAAGCCCATTCTCTATGTCTGCGTCTTTATTCCTGTCCTGCCCCTAGGTTCATGAGAACCATTTTTTCTTTTCTTTTTTTTTTTAGATTCCATATATACGTGTTAGCATACGGTATTTGTTTTTCCCTTTCTGACTTACTTCACTCTGTATGACAGACTCTAGGTCCATCCACCTCACTACAAATAACTCAATTTCGTTTCTTTTTATGGCTGAGTAATATTCCATTGTATATATGTGCCACATCTTTATCCATTCATCTGTCGATTAGGTTGCTTCCATGTCCTGGCTATTGTAAATAGTGCTGTGTAGCCTCTACTTTAGTGTTTCTTAAATCTTATTCAGTCCCATCCTAGATATATTTGGGGTGGGGGCATTAACTACGTATGCATTATACTATCATTTACCTAATTATTCTTTATGTAAAGTCACTACTTTTACTTAAATTTATTTTAAAAGGAACTACATCGTTACAATATATGGAAAATCATCATCAGTTAGCCTATGCAGAACTTGCTCGATATATACGTTTTTAAATTGCACATTAAAGTAAATACACGATGATTATTTTTTTTAAGTTCATTCATGTACCCTTTAAAATAATCTCGGGTGACAGTACTATGGGAAATACCACCTTAAGGGGTACAGTTTAGTTGTCTGAGAACTCTGGGCTCCTAAGCAGAAAAACCAATTTAAGCTCTCCAGTCTCGTTTCTCACCTCACGACTGTCCCAGGAGGAGGCTAAGAGCAGGAGGAAAGAAAAGCACCGGGAGTTCCTAGTTCCCACGCAGGGCGACCTGAGGATACGGGGTCGAGAGCGAAAGGGACTTTAAATACCCAGACCTGCGAGTGACAAGGGCGGGGACGGACTGACCTTCTCGCGCAGGGTGCAGTGGACGTCCGAGGCGACACGCCCTTCCCACCACGGCTCATCCATCATCGAGTCTACAGCGCCGCGACGCGAGGCTACCGGGCTCTCAGGGTGCACCCTGTGTGGACACGGGCAACTTCAGCGGCCGTAGCGCGCCCCCCGGCATCCCATCCTCTGTCGTCCTCGGCCGGGGTCTCTGCCGGGCGCCCCCTCCTGTCCCGCTCAGCGGAGCTGGCGGTCGCCTCCCATCCCGGGAAGGTTGCAGTGCCCCCTCCCCTCTATTCGCGGGACCTGAGGCGACCTGGAGCTGTGCAACAACTTGCAGAATTTTTATCTTCCCTTTTGCAAAAGTTGCAGAGAAAGTTGCCGACTTCGCTAGCTCTCCAGAGGCCAGGGTTCAGGCAGCGGCCACCAGCTCGCCGTCCCCAACTCCTCCCCCGCCGCCCAGCCTTTGTCCTGCTCCCACATCCTGCCCTCCAGCCGGGGCGAAACTCACGCATCCCTCTCCGGGCGTGGGGGGCTGCGGGCGCCAGGCCCCCCCGGCCCAGGGCCCAGCTGGCTGTGCCCTGGGGTGCCTGCACGCGGATGGGCCCTAGCGCTGGGCGCTCCACGCTCTTGACTGCCGCCTCCGTAGCCCGGCTAGCCCCCGCCACCGCCGCGCCCCTGCGTGCGCTCGGGTCCCGCCGCGGCTCGCAGCCTCGGGGCCGCCGGGGGCCTTCCTCCCTCGCCGGGGGAATTGGGGGCCGGGCCTCGCGCATGCGCCGCCGGCCCCCGCACCCCGCGGGGCGGGGGGCTGGGAACTGGAGTCTTTCTTTCGCCGGCGCTGGCTGCGTTTCCTGTCAGCCCTCCTCCCCCGCCTCGGTGGAAAGCTTCCTCTCACCTTCGCGTGGGCGCCGGGTGGCCTCCTGGGCACCCCGCGGACTCACGCGGGCAGCGCTGGGACCGCGGCGCCAGGACCGCGGCGCCACCTGCGCGCGCCACTCGTGAAAGGCGCGGGCAGAATGCCCCCAGAAAGTTCTCTCTCCCGCGTGCGCTGTTCTAGCCAACCTTTCGTCGGTTCCACCTGGTTATTTATTTCTTTTTTTTTTTAACCGGCCCTGCAATGGGGAGGTGGATTTCCAAACGGACAGTTCCCACGAAATCGCCAGAAAATCCGCTCTTGATTATTCACGAGTCCCTGATTCTAAAGGAGGCTCAGTAAATCAACGGATTTTTTTTTGTGCTCCTGCAAGGTATAAATTGTACGCCTTACATTGGGAGAAAACCAGTCTTTTTGGAGGGCCCGCTGGATGGAAGGCATTGTCTTTTTAATTGAGTTGATTGTTTTCGGAAAGGCACGCCCTTTAATTAGCTCCTCTGATGGCACAGAAGATTGATTGGTTTTTGTGATTCTTCTGGACGTTCACAGATCTGTTTCAAATCCAGCTGGCAACTGGGTGACTTTTGCCATGTTCCTCAGACTCTGTAAGCTTGGAACCCTCATGTGTAAATTGGGAATAAAAATTGCACCAACCTGCTGGAGATACTGTATCATTAAATAAGATACTTCATATAAAGGGATAATCGCCATGCCGAGTATAAAACAAACAACAAATAGCTGCCACTAAAGAGCCTTTGGTTTCTGACTGGTACCCAGGTACCCACCTGGGAAAAAAATGTTTAAATCAGCTTTAATAAGCTTCAATAGGTGCTTAAAGAGAAGTTTTAATGTAAAAAATAAATTTTAAAAACTACTGTGAGGGGCTTCCCTGGTGGCGCAGTCGTTGAGAATCTGCCTGCCAATGCAGGGGGCACGGGTTCGAGCCTTGATCTGGGAGGATCCCACATGCCGCGGAGCAACTAGGCCCGTGAGCCACAACTGCTGAGCCTGCGCGTCTGGAGCCTGTGCTCCGCAACAAGAGAGGCCGCGATAGTGAGAGGCCGGCGCACCGCGATGAAGAGTGGCCCCCGCTTGCCGCAACTAGAGAAAGCCCTCGCACAGAAACGAAGAGCCAACACAGCCAAAAATAAATAAATAAATATTAAAGGCGAAAGAAGAAAGGGGAAATTGTAGATAAAGGATCTAGTTTAAAAAAAAAAAAAACTACTGTGAAAGTGAAAAGTATCTAAGAATAAACAATAAGTGCAGGCTCTTAATAAAGAAATTATAAAGGTTAAACATAATAAGAAAGGCTTGAAGAAATAGAAATAGGTGAAAATATCAACTTTACTCAAATTAACTCAATAAAATTCTAACGATTGTGGGTAGATGGGGGTGGGGGAGGGATGACACTTTTTCTAACACTCAAATGGAGGAATATCTATGGCAAAAGCTAAGATTTTTATATTTTAAAAATGGGGTATAGATCTATATATTGCCAAATCTTAAAACATATTGCAAAGCTATAATTCAAACAGTGGTGTTGACACAAGAATGGATGGATTAAAAAAAAAAAGAATGGATGGATAAGTATCAGTGGAATAATTGAAAGTTTAGAAACATCCTACATACTTAAAAATTAACTGTGTGAGAAATGTGGCATTTCACTTTTGAGGGGAAAAGGATAAATTCTTCAATAAATTGGGCAGGGGAAATTAGTTAACTTGGGGGAAAAAAGTAAAACTAGGGATTTATTTAAAGCATCATCAAAATAAATATAAGAACTTGTCAAATGACAAAACTAAGACAATTTAGTAATGAGTTTGATGTTCTTTATTTAAGGGAAAACAATTCATGAATTGGGAGAGTGCAGTGCCTCACAAGTGGTGGAACATTCTTCCCAAGGGATTTGGAGCAAAAGCGAGTTTTATAGAGCATTAGAAGAGGCAACGAGGAAACAGGGCATGATTGGCTAGGAGGTCCTGTTTTCTAGGGTAAGGTGAGCCAGCTTTAACTGAGCTGGAGGACTGTGATTGGTGTGGTTAGGTTTTCTAGACAGCGAGGTGTTTCCCATAAGTGCAGACTGATTTAAGTTTAGATTTGTGATGTAGGCCAGGCCACTGGGGCAGCCTCCATTTGGTGGGTCCCAACATACAATTTAACTTTTTCAAACCCAAAGAACTACAAAGAAATATCAACACCCCCCCCAAAAAAAATCACAAGAGAACTAAAAGAAAACACAGGTTATTTCAGAGGAGAAGGCCTAGAGCTTAAGGCATAGGAAGAAACAAAAGGCCAGGATGAGTATATATATTTTAATAAATATGCGAGACTTAGACATCAAATATCACCAAAAGGGAAAATGACAAATTGGAGAAAATGTTTTTAACAAACATGGTAAAGGTTGATCTTACTATATAGACCTATTGTAAATCAACACATATTATAAAACGCTAATACCTGAAATGCAGAAAAGGATGAACAGGCATGCATGATAGAAGAAATTCAGGGACTTCCCTGGTGGTCCAGTGGTAAGGAATCCACCTTCTAATGCAGGAGACGCAGGTTCGATCCCTGGTTGGGGAACTAAGATACCACGTGCCACGGGGCAACTAAGGCTATGTGCCACAACTACTGAGCCCAAGCACCTCAACTAGAGAGCCGGTGTGTCACAAACTACAGAGCTCACGTGCTTTGCAGCCCCTGCACCACAACTAGAGAGAAGCCCACATGCCACAACGAAGATCCCACGTGCCTCAACTAAGACCCAATGCAGCCAAAAATAATAAATAAATATTTGTTAAAAAGAAAGAAGAAATTCAAATGGACAATTATCATTTTTTAAATGCTCATACTAGTAAAGACATTAAACATGTTTTAGAAACAAGGTATATCTTTGTCAAGAATTTTTAAGAACACAATACACAGGATTGACAAATATATAGTGTTGGTGGGAATATAAATTAATACCATCTTCTGAAAGACAATATCACTCAAAAACCTTAAAAATGTATCATTGTGGGCTTCCCTGGTGGCGCAGTGGTTGAGAGTCCGCCTGCCGATGCAGGGGACACGGGTTCGTGCCCCGGTCCGGGAGGATCCCACATGCCGCGGAGCGGCTGGGCCCGTGAGCCATGGCCGCTGAGCCTGCGCATCCGGAGCCTGTGCTCCGCCACGGGAGAGGCCACAACAGAGAGGCCCCCGCCTCCCGAAAAAAAAAAAAAAAAAAAAAGTATCATTGTATCCAACTATTCCACTTATGGAAATTTATTATAAAAAATATGCAGATGAGTACAATGATTTCTTTTTTTTTTTTTTTTTTTTTGTGGTACGCGGGCCTCTCACTGCTGTGGCCTCCCCCAATGCAGAAGACAGGCTCCGGACGCGCAGGCTCAGCGGCCATGGCTCACGGGCCCAGCCGCTCCGCGGCATGTGGGATCCTCCCGGACCGGGGCACGAACCCGTGTCCCCTGCATCGGCAGGCGGATTCGCAACCACTGTGCCACCAAGGAAGCTCCGAAAGATTTCTTTACAAGGGGTTTCATCAACAAATGCTCTTTTATCATAGTGAACTATTAGAACAGGGACTGGTTAAATAATAATTTGGCTCTTACCATTTTTTAAGAGAATGAATAATGACTTAAGAAAATGTTCACAAGACATTAAGTGAAAAAGGAGATTAGATTATGATCCCAATTGTATATTACATTCACACACAAACACAAAAGAAACAAAAAAAGTCCGTAAAAATATTAACTGTGTAATCAGAGTGGTAGGATTATGGGTAATTCTAATTAACTTTTTATTCTAGTATATCTGAATTTTCTAAATTTTTATAAGAAACATGCATTACTTTCGCAAAAAGGAAAAAAGAGTGAATGTTATTTTTAAGTAATCACCGATATATTTACTAGAGTGGCCTTCCATTGAATAACAATTCACAGTGTTGTTTTGTTTTTGGTTTTGTTTTGTTTTTTTCATAGCAGTATTATTTCTTTCTCAGGCTACACCAAAAGAGGACAGACCTTTATTATTCACTGATTTGGAGTCTTCTTTTCCTAAACTTCAGCTCTCAGTTATCTGGAGTTCCGATAGGTGAGAGGGAGACAGAATCTTGGGGCTTTTCTACCAGGGTATTTTAAGAAGATACTAAACATCATTCGTATTCTGCAGTCCTTTTTGTATCATTCTCAGGAGTCTCTCGTTTTCCCAGTGTCTCTGAAAGATAAAAACGTGTTGCACTGATGGTTTTGGTAGTGAGTCCTGTCCGCAGGTAGAAATGACGTTGGTGCCCTCAGCAGAGGAAGCTTCCTCTGGTGCACAGCAGGGGAACAACACAACTGGAGCTACTTCTCCCACCCACTCCATTCCCAACTAAGCTAAGAAGTATCCATTCATTTATTCATTCATTCACTCAAAAAGTAAAACTGTATCAAGTGCTCACTGTGAGCCGCTTACCACCCTCCCACTTCCAATCTCTGAAGCTCACATGTTCGGAACCAAAGATTTAGAGCAAGGCCATCCTACCTCAAACTTTACCAGGTATAAAATGAGAAAAAATTTTTTTTTCTCTGACCTTTCCAATCTTCCACAGAGGACAAATCAATCTAATATTATGAACTGCTCACTTTAACTTTCCTTTGTCTTTTTTTTTTTTCCATAGGCTATAAGCTCTCACATTAAAAATATATTTATGGTGAAATGAACGTGTTCTCATCCTGGTCCTAGGCCTTGTTCTCCTCCCCAAGGATAAGCAGCGCCTTGTGTTTCCTTCCAGAAGTGATCCACACACTTACCAACATGAACACCCATGCCTTTCCCCCCTTTACACAAATGGCAGCATATGGAATGCATCCTTCTGCACCTTCTTTTTCCCTCTTGGTTGTTTCATGGCAGTGCCTGCAGAGCTGCACAGTTATCCCATAGCCCCATAGTATGGATCCATCATGA